CCCGATCCCAGGCATATAGGGGGCTGTATATATTTGGATCATTGATCTTTTTAAAAAACCTATTTAATGTATGGTGCATAAAGTTATTCGTGCTTATTCATTAATTCTACTTCAGGTTGTTTTCTACATATATAGATGAATGCATTAGACAATTTATGCATAACCCACTATGGCTCAATGAAGAGTCATATTTACATAAATATCTTCCATGTATAAATATATTTTTTCACATATAGCTACATACATAAACGTCTATTTTCTTTTCACATGTATAGTATCTTTATATTTCATAATTTCATATAATAACATCTCAAGGTATTAGAATGTTTTTATCATATATATTTGTTGTACATTTATGTTTGAAATTTTTTCCCTTTTTTCCATACCTATCTTACATCTATTGTGAACTTCCTTAGTCATTCTTTTGGAATATCTGTAACCCTCCAGGAAACTGTACATGCATGCGCACATAGCCCTGCGTGTGCCCATGCATGTGCATCTTAATCTGCTTCTACCTAGCTCCATTCCTTAAATCCGAACTTATGCATCTCTCTACTCTCGTTAAGTCATCCATGTATCATCCTTTTAATAATTGAGAAAATTTTTCATGGAAAGCCTTTTTCTTTCAGCTTTCTTTCAACTTTCATGTAAAGCATTTTTCTTTCAGCTTTCATATAAATGTGCTTAGTTCAGATTTCCTGGATATGGAACTGGTTTAGCTCGTTTGTATTTTTCCCATTAGTCTGTCCCATGACGAACTCCAAATATTTAACTTTGTCCTTTCCAAATTTCCTGGAGGTTACTAGTAATTGTTCACCTGGGGGGAATTCGGGGGTGCATAGATTCAGGTAGGCATGTAATTATACTCCTCCTGTTTCTAATCATTCTCATTCCAAAACAGGCACTTCCCAAAGTACTCCACCAGGGGAGTACGAAAATATAACCGCCACTAACAAAACTTCGTATTTCGTACGAATCCGAATTGAGTTTTGACACGAATTACGAAATACGAAATAACGGATATTCCGAAACGAAACAGAACTCATTTTTTGACGGCGCACAAGTCTAGCTATGGCTGGATTGTTCGGCTCCTTAGTGAATAATCCTCTTAATTTACACTTTAACCCTTTCGCTGCCAAGCCCTCCGGAACATTTTTCAAATCAGCTGGCCAAGCCATTTTTG